TGTCAATTCCAGCTGACAAGAGAGTCTTTCTTCCCCAAAAAGTTGAACAAAAAGTTCTGGGCCTGATGCCCCTTCCAAGTGACCAACTTAAATCCTGGGTCCCACAGTGACCTCATGGAGATAGAGAGCAGGGCCAGACACCTCAAAGGGATATTAATTAAAAGTGGCAGCGAGCTACTCCTATGCTCAGCAGACACAGGGTGGCTGAAACCAAGTGTTCCCCTTACGGAGCTCAGGCTGGTGGGAGACTAGATAAATAAGTACATGAATAATTAGGGTACAGGTGAGCAGGGCAGTGCTAGAGGGGGAAGAGTGTGCTTCCAGAGAACATAGGAAGGGCACATGAGGTGGGTTATGAAGGATGAATAGGGGTTAGTCTGAGGAACGCAAAAGGCTGAGGAGTTCCAAGCAAAAGGCACAGAATGAGCAAAAGAGAGGAGTTGAGAAATAGCAGAGTAGAGATGAGAGGAGAATTACAGCCAGTTCTCTGTTTCTAGAGGGTTAATGCAGAAGTGACAGAAAAATGATCTAGATAGGGGAGCTTGGGCCACAGAAAGCTTTACATGCCATTGTGGGGGGCCTGGACTTTCCCTCGGGGCACTGGTGAGCCAGGGCAAGCAGCAGATCACCCCATCAGGTTTCCATCCTCATCAGGTCTCTCCAGCAGAGGGTGGACGTGGATCAGAAGGGGTCAAGCCAGAGCCTGGGCAGTGGGAAATGAGGAGGTGGTGGTGCTGATATAGGCAGGAGGGAAGTAGGTCTGAAGGAGAGGGGTCAGTGAGGCTGATAGCAGGAGGCAAGTTTGGGAGGCAAGTCACAGATCTGGGCCAGTGCCAGTGACTGCCTGGAAGAGAGAAGGAAGACTCCTGGGTTCCTTGGTCTTCCTGATGAGCAGGGAGATAGAAGGGGCTCCGTTCTCCAGGAGCTGGTACAGGCCTCAGTACCCATCCTGGAGGAGTCCTTGCATGTGTCCCAAAGAGAAAGCACAAGGAATTTCCCCGCAGTACTCTTTGTAATTGAAATAATTAAAGGGGATACAACTTTAATGTTCTGTAGTAACAAATAGCTAAATTAATCATGGTACAACCAGCCTGTGGAACACTATGCAGCAGTTAAAAAGACTGAAGTAAATATTCAGATGTGGAAAGATGGCCTTAACATATCGAGCAGGAAAAAAGTGAGTTATCTAATGATATGTAAGATATCATTAGATATTTTATATAGATAATTCTACATAGAATTCTAGATGTAGATATTCTATGTAGAAATCTACAATTCTATGTAGGTATTCTATGTAGAAAACAAAAACAAACACATATATCTACATATTTGTGTCTATGTATCTGTGTGTGTAAATCCATTTTAAAGTGTCTGGCAGCATATAAGTCAATTGACAATGGTGTTGACATCCAAGGGAAGGATTGGGGATGGAAATGTGGTTCAGGGGGCTATAGCTCTATCTCCAAAGTTTGAATGTTTACACTAGGATACTGTTGAGTTGAGGGACCAGTAGGACCCCGTGTCTTGAGCCCACCAGGCAGCTGGATATACAGCTCTGAGGTCAGAGAAAACTCAGATTGGAAACTTGTTCAGCAGGTGCAGGTTGCAAAAGGCTGTGCTTTCATACACTCCCTTAATCAAGACTGCTGTGGTTGTAAGAAACAGAAACCTACTCAAACTACTAAAGCAAAAATGAAAAGCTACATCCCGAGGATAGAGATCTGAGACCCTGGTCCAAGAAGCATGGCCTCGGCAAAGTCTAGAACCAGGAGTTGAAAGCTACCAGGTATCAAGGCCACTTTTCTTTCACGTGCATGCTCCCTTTGGTTTGGGGAGAGCTTTTTAGAGAACTTTCCCTGCCCCAGAGCAAAAAGTTGTCTTAGATGGGGTCTTTCCATCCTGTCCAAGCTGCAGGATTCTAGAGAGCATAAACTGGGTCTCTAAACTGTACAGTTTCACCACCCATGGGGGCGAAGGCCCTGGGAATTCCACCTATAAAAGCCAGGCTGCTGCCTCCATCTGTGCCCACTGTGATGACAGCAGTCCTTGTGACGGTCCACAGGGTGTCACGCGGAGCTGCCCACCCCACCTCCTCATCGCCAGTTCAGCTCCCACTGAG